AATTCACATCGCTTCTGAACTCCTATAGTCAATAGTTCATGTTTTGTCCACATATTCTGTTGTTTGTTTTTGTGTATACATTATCATCCGATTTATCATGTATGGATTGTCATCCTACTACTGCATTAATTATTTATCAATAAAGTCGATAATATATTGTTAACCATATGTCTGGAATTCTTGCTGCAGTCTTGATTTTGTAGCGGGTGAATCGGAGGGAGAACGTGGCAAAGAATTGCACCACTTTAAACGCATGAGTATTGAAAGTAATTGGTAATATAATTCGAGTAGTGTAGAACTTTTCCAGAACTGCATTGTATTAGATCTTGGTGCACTGGTGGTATCATAAATTTTTCTCTTATCACATCCGGATAATTTATAATGCGTGGAGCAACTGATTGATCAATCGGAAATAATCAGAAATATAACAGTCTCCATGGTAACAGGAGTGGCCCATGTAAACGAGTCATGTATTTATTGAATTTCCTATGCGCTAGGTTTGAGTGTGTATTCACTGGTTTTAATATATCGTGCATGTAGAATCTCTTATGGTTCCAAACCGAGCCAGCACAATATGAGTAAACGTCAGCAGTGTATGTCCTTTGACACAACGGGCAAAGGGTGCCTGCAGTCGGTGCCTTTCGCTCACAGTAAGGAACACAGCACGGAGCTGCCTCAGTAGGGGGGATGTGGTCTGGTGGAAATGGAATTCTATGTTCAACAACCGGACCTTTTGTTTTGTGGGAGAGAGTTTTGAGGATCAAATGAATTGGATTCCCGTAGGTACAGAACAGTTCGTTTCACAAGTCTCAGAGACCGGACAGTTGAATCAAGTTAAGGTGATGCGTTGTGAAGCTTGGTGGTTTGCCGATGTGATGATTGCATTAACAGGTCTATCAAGTGGATAAAAGAAATGATAATTAGTTTGATTGATGCTTTAATATTGTGAGTATTGATTACTGACGCTGGCTGATCAGGATTATTCTAACAGCAGTGTGCTGTTAATGGTTGCTCTTTGTGTGCACGTTTTAAACTACTTTCCTAATTAAACATGATGTGCTCGTTATTAATGGTCTTATTGATCTTGTGAAAGATCTTGTAGTGTGTGACCCCCTGTTGCTGAACAGACCTCCAGGGAAGAGACTGAGAGTGTTTATGTACAGAAACCTGAAACAACCTCAGATAGAAGCGTTCGGGGGAATCTGCATAAAGAGTTTCATTGACAGTTAAAACTGAATCTGTTGTCACGTATTCCTCCTCCTCTTCTTCACTGTTTCATTGTTTCCCAGCAGGTTTTCCATTTGAGACTCGGTGCAACAGTCTTTTTCATGTGTTTTTAATAGATTTTGGCTCTGCAGCACAGAGGAATATCAGCTCCGCCAGCAGACGATTAGACATTTATTCTTAGTTTTGGTCTCTTTAGAGGATTTGTTGATAATAAAAAAGGGCAAAATAATACCAGCTTTATCCTGTCAAAGTGAAATAAATATTATAATATTTTATATTTATATACTGTAATATTCTACGAGGCTCGTAGCATAACGTTAGCTCTCGTAGCTGAGTCAAAGTGTTCATAGGTGTGATTTCGGTTCCTCTGTAAAACGTACGCGAACAAGTTTGTCACAAGTTTTTGTATTCTAATTAAATTTAACCATAAAAGTGATTCATGAGTCAGCAGTTTGTTAAATATTAGACTGTACACCAACGTCCTGTTCAACTGGAGACACGTCTGTTCAGTTTGATTGATTGGTGTTTGTGTTATATGACACTGATGGATGATTTTGTTACCTGACATACACACACACACACACACGTTTCCGTCCTCTCTGTTAAACTTTTCTCTTTCCTGTTTCTTTGTTGAGTTCCTGCCCTCAGCTGCTGTCACACACTGAGGTCTCGTCCTCCTCTCCTGATTGGAAGCTGTCGGATTGGTTCAGACAGAGTGCATCTTGGGAACTCTGAGTCAGCTTGCTGGGAATGAATGTGTTAATATTCATGGATCATTAACGATAATAAACTGATTGGTGGGACTTTTAATCTTTGGGTTAAGGTATCTGGTATTTTGGAGTTAAAAGGCTGAAGTGAAATTTTCTTTTGTCTAAAGGCTTAAAACTAAATTTAATATAAAATATTAACTTCCTACATTAGTGTCGTGTTTCTTTTGTGGCCAAAAAACGAATTATTGCAGCTAAAGTTGAATTTTAAAGGACACAAATGTCACTGTTGGACGATCAGAAACTGAAAACACACCACTGATGAACCAACATCTGTCTGTGCCTTCGTCCTCCTGGACGCTCCTCTTCCTCCTTCCACAGCGAGGGAATTAAACACCTGGACCTCCTTCACAACGCCACCTCCCTCTCTCTTCATCCTCCATCAATCTCACTCCTTCGCTCTCCTCCATTTCTCACTCCATTGCTCTCTTTACATTTGTCATCATTATCTCTCTCCCGCTGTATCTTCATCCTCTTACCACGCATGACATCTCATCTCCTCCTCCTCTTCCTCCTCCCTTCTCCTCAGCCCTCTCTCGAAATCATCTTTAGCCCCCGATTTTCCCAAGAGATCCCTTCCTGTGAGCAAAGTATAAAGTTGGGGTTCAGCATTTAGAAACTGACGGATGCTAACTTGCATGTGTTGCACAATTAGCATAATTAGCATTAATAATCAGCTATAAGGACAATATAGGAGTTGGTTTTGGAGGTTATTGATGATGCTGAATCCACATTTGTGACATTTTCAAAACATAAAATGGATGTTTAAACAGCAGCTGACCATATTTCAACTCTCAGTGGTTCATTTGAGGTTATTTATATGATTAATACCTCGGACCTGCGTTTTAAAATCAAGAAAGCTCAATGTTAATCGGTGTGAATGTTCAGACGTAATATTTCTTCACACCTCTGTCTTTGTAGTTATGTATTAAACATATAAATGCCCTATATTGTATTTTGTATAATTAACCAATCAGTTGCTGAAACATTGTCTATATAACTGATTATTAATGCTAATTATCCAACATACGCTGGAGATCCATACTGTACATTTCTAATTAACTTTGCTGTACTCAACAAGTAGAATAATCACTGGACTGATGTTACAGTAACAGCCTGTTAATATAAGTATCTAAATATAAGCGTAAAAAAGATCTTCTCATATGACCTGTTAAATCCGGAATATGTCAGTATATTCTGTAACTGACGCTGTTGAGGTTCAGTTTGAGGGGATTCACCCACTGAACCAGTTCATCTGCGTCCTGTTCGGATAACTGCGGCGACCTTTAAATCACAGAGCGTATTACTGCAGATGTTCACATCACAGCTGTCAGTTACTAAACACACAGAACTCCTCGTAGCTCCAGAGCAGCAGCAGCAGCCGTCCGGGAACAAAGGTTTTATTTCAGTTAAAGGTCAGGAACCACGTGAGCTCTCAAACGTTTAGTTTTTCACTCAGACGGCCGCCGTGTGTCTCTAATCCTCCGTCAGACAGGATCCTGTTTTTAATCCCAGTTTTATATTTCACTCACGTTTCTGTTTGTTGTTTGTTTCACGGACTGTTGAGCAGCATTTTGTCTGACACCAAATTTAATTTAATACGCCTCCTCCCGCCACGTCTCATCCTACTCTCATTCATTCGTCCTCTCTCTCTTTACTCTCTAATATCCGATTATTCCCTCCATAAATCCTCCTCCTCTTCCTCTCTACTCACTGGTGCTGAGCAGGGGGGCTAAAATCTTGCAAAATTAAAGTTAGTTCCTAAAAATTTTCAGACTTATAAGAAGAGGTTCTACCTTGTTTTTTATCCACAATAAAGTTAAAAAATTTGTAGTGCTGTCCCGACTAAAGATTTTCCTTGGCGACTAGTCATCTGAATATTTAATTATTTGCTTTAATTATTTACATGTATATATTTTTCATTTAGAGTTTTTATTTACTTTCTTTTTCAAAAATCCTGCAACATTCAGATACAAAATATATTATTCACTTGGTTGTCTACAGGTAACAACGTCCACAAACAGAACAAAAATAAGAACTGAGAGCAAACAGTTACTTATGCTACTGTGGAAGAGAAAGAAAGTTGTTTCCCGTTTAAGAAGTAATTGAAACGTTGTTCGCTAGCTCTGATCACTGTTTCTTTCTGGTTAGATGTTAGTTTGTTTCAAAGATGTAATGCTACAGCACAGCTAGCTTCATACTAGCCTAGCACTAAATGGCAGAGTGCATTAATATTAAATATATAAAGACATTAAATATTTAAATTTGGATGTGAACCTCCGCTGTGTTGTGACTGTTGGATTTGTGTTGTGGTTTTTGCCGTTTGCTGATACCTCTCAGCCACCGTAGTTATTATGCAGCAGTGCTGTTACAAGAGAAGAGGTCCATGTTGCGTTTTCTGTTTGTGTTTGCTGTGTTTTCTTTGATCTTTTTCTGTCTTCCTCTTCTCCTTAATGGAGGGTAGAGAAAGAGTCCCACATTAATGATGGCTGTATGATTATGGAGTCGCTGTGTGACTGACAGTATAACGATGTATCCATTCAGTTGGGCTTTTAAGGAACATTACAGTGTTTCTCCTTTGCTTGAACACATTTGTCATTTCAAAATGGACTTCAGTTTCTTCCTGAAGTTTACTTTCTGAGAAAAATCAGCTCCACGACTCTTTCATACTATTATGAATCTAAACCTTCATGATTTTAATGATTACTTTGTGAGCACAGACCTGCAGCTCCCTCCTGGAAACGTACTTACATCATCGTAACTTGGTTTTGTCCATTACTGTAAAAGTCACCATCGCTCTACTTTAAGTTATGTTTTCCAACTGGTTAGCTGTAATCTTCTACAGTCCTCTCTGTGTTGCTACAGATGCGTCTGAACAGAAATAGGAATGAATGATCGTTGGTATCAGGTTGTTGTTTGAGCGTGGTGGACTGTTTGTTTCCATTATTACAGCTGTCAGAGCGATACTGAAGGCCTCTGTTAACCCTCCTCTTCCTCCTCCTGTAGAGCGTTGGTGTGAGCGTTATGGAGACCTTCAGGGAGAGCTGCTGTGCGTGGAGCTGGAGAAGGAGCGGCAGGGTTTGGGTCTCAGCCTGGCGGGGAACAGGGACCGTTCCCGCCTTAGCATCTTCGTGGTGGGACTCCATCCGGGAGGGCCGGCCGCTCGAGACGGACGCATCAGGGTCGGAGACGAGCTGCTGGAGGTGAGACCAGATTGAATTAACGCTGAAACTGCACCTGCTTGTATCCTGGTGATTCATTTGCTCGTACACCTGAAGCCTCTGTCGGTTAGCATTTAGCTCTGACCGCTGCGCAGCCTCATAAAGCTGTCAGAGCGGTTGTAGTCTGAAGATGCATATTGATGACGGCCCTGCAGGTGGTGGAGGTTTTATTCTCACTGAATTACTCTTGAACATAAAGTCCTAAAAATAATCAGACGTTTCAGACGTTTGTTTGTCTTTCTGCGTTTTGCAGGTAAACAAATATCTTCTCATCACATTCACACAGTTTTAATAAAGGACAGGTAGTCTTATAACATTCTATAATAATATTCTCTCTGTCTCTGTTGTATTTGTATCTATTTTAGGTGTTACAGGGAGCAGATAGTACAACTATAGTCAGGTGTTACATTACACACTATGTTACTAATCTATACAGCAAGAATTACACATTAAAGCTCATAAAATAACACTTAAATTCTTATATTTTTGAAATTTTTACACATGAAACAAATATAAAATGTAATATATAAATACACATTTAATAATATGTAATTTCGTGTTTATGCGAATATACTTTCACAGTATATTTAAGAGACGGAGCCACCAGGTCTGTGAAGTGTCTGAATTTTATTTAATGTCCAGCAGGGGAGCTCCACTGGTTGCAATAAAAACAGATTTTAAACAGTCTTATGGAGAAATGAGCCGACTTCTCAGTTGATTATGGCTCAGTAAAACAAGTTTCCTGATGAGTTTCTAGGTTCTCGTCTCGTCGTTTCAGCTGTTAACTTCCATATACAGCCAATGATGTTCATTTAGTAAACTGATTGGTTCCCATTTAGGAGTCAAACAGACATAAAGCAGGGATTGCTTACGGTGAACTTACCTTAGTGATTGACACATTTGTATCATCTTATTATCTACAATTTGGGGTAACAGGTCAAATAATTGGTTATGATTACTTAGAGAATATATATTATTATTTTAGCCTTTGTATGGCAGCGTGGATGAGACGAACAACATCATCTGCAAAAAGTCAACAACCTGTGTGTGTGTGTGTGTGTGTGTGTGTGTGTGTGTGTTTGTGTGTGAGATTCACATTAATATTAAAGACAGAAACACCGACATCCTCTATCTCGCCTCCTCCTCATTACAGGGGTGTCACAGACTGCATGAAAAATAGATGTTGAGCCGAGGAAAGCCTGGACGATTACACACACACACACACACACACACAGCTATTTGCATTGATAAGACAAACATACAGACGCATTAGTTCAGAAATCCATATAATAAAATGGAGTGTGTAACATCAGGTTCATCTATTATACAAACATTATGGAACATCATGTGATGAGAGAAGAAAATAAGAAAATAGAAACTCTTTTACTTTTCTATCAGTGTGTGTGTGTGTGTGTGTGTGTAGATGAGACATTGATTTAACATTTGCAGGTGCTGGTAGCTTTTTACTTAGTTTACTGTCTTACAGCTCAATGACCTTTCAATTAATGTCTGTCTCAATTAAACGTGTGTGTATTTACGTGTTTTTGTTACATATTGGGGACGTTTTCTCCTATACACACTGACTTTGTCGGCACCGGTAATCCTCATAGGGACCAAAGCCTGATCCTAATGCTGCAAAATGTCATTTCTGAGGTCCTGGTTAGTTTGGAGTTTGGTGCGTTGAGCTGGACGGACTCACTGAGAATTGACGCTGTCATCACGAACAGGTAGCCCCGCCCTAAAAGCATACCCATGCCTTTATATGGTTCTCGTTTTAACTCTACAATGGGGACCATCAATTACTAAATGAAACATCATGCTGTATGAAGAAGACTGAAACTGAGGACCTGAGACTGTGGATAGGTATTGGTTTTTATGTGCAGCCAGTGGAGCTGCCCCAAAACCTTTCTTCATTCTTTCATCTGTTGTGTCGATTTTAATGTGATCATATTTAACTCTCCCTTATTTATTGATGTATCAATAAGTATTTGTTATTGTATGTTTATATGGATATGAGTTCAATTATCAATATCTCTTTGTTCTTCAGATTAACAACCAGGTCCTTTATGGGCGGAGTCACCAGAACGCCTCGGCCATCATTAAGAGTGCCGCTTCCAAGGTGAAAGTGATCCTGCTCAGGTAGGACTGCAAAGCATGCTGGGAAACAGATGACACTGACTCCTTCCTTCATGAACTTAAATTTCTCTTGAAAATAGTAAAATATTTTATATTTAATAAGATTAACAAATCTTCTGTATGAATATCTGTTATGTTTACTGTAGTAAACTGCAGAAACTGCATGTGAGGAATGTACTGCAGCACAATCTGACAGTTGTTATCTGAGGATATTTGAAAACATCCATAATACAGTTTCCCAACTTAGCCTGCAAAAATAACAGGAACAGTTAGCTGCTAGCAGTCTCCAAGGTTTGCTCACTGTTGCTGCTGAATGGCAGATCTGCTGACACGTAAGTTAGTAAGTGATTCTTTCAGTGATCACTTTGGGGAAGCTATTGCATATCCTTTCAATTTATTCTTGCAGTCTGGAAACTCTTTTCCCACAAAACCCAGAGGCGGCGAGTGCAAAGTTATATCAGTTTTGAAACAGAATTTTCTTTCAAGGATGTGTTTGTAAAGATATTACACTGATGATGAATGTGTGAGAGGAGAAACATTGTTGAGACGATGTAATGATGACGACAGTCTGAGAAAGGAGGACATAAAGGATCCGGAGAGTGTTTCTCTAAGCAGGTTGAGGCTGGAGGGAGCGATGTGTTCAGGGACAGGAAAACGTGGAGTGTTTCTTAAACAGAAACGCTCCCTTCAATTAAATTGTAGCCCAACCTGCTGCTGGTAGAGGCGAGCTGAGGAGATTTGTGCTTTTTCCTCACCGCTGATTTGACTTTTATTGGGTCAGAAGCTCCTTTTCTTTGAATACAATAGAGTTCAGAGCCTTTTACACGCTGCTGATGGAGGAAAAGTGTGTTTACATCACTGATGCTCCTCCACCGACTCTCTTTATTCCCTCAGTGACTTTGTTTTTCACTCATTCTCTGGATTTGATAAAAATGAAACTGTATTGATCGTAATGCTGAAATTGGGTCACGGCAGCAGCAACAGCAGGGGCTGTAGACGAGAATAGAACAAGTCAGAGAGAGCTGAAAACAATCAAACAGGTAAAATCACCCCTTCCAGGAGGAGAACCTGCCAGCAGCTGGAAGCTTCCTGAAGGAAACTGACGGCTTTGAGCCAACATGGCCGCCGTCTGATGGCAGAAAATCATTAAAAACCAGCTACAGCTGAGCGGTCTTTATGTGTGTAATAAAAATGTGGATCCAGGATGACGTCAATCTACTTGCCTATTATTAAAAGTTCTTCTGGACTGGAGATAATTCTGATTTGCATTCAGCTGAGAAAACCAAGACAGATTGTGTGTAAATTAAAGTGCAGTTAATCTCACCTGGATATTATCTGGATAGTTTAAATGAGGCCTCGGCATCATTATGTAACTTTTGTACTTTAAAATATCATCTTCAGTATCATGTTGTCATTTTGGTGAAACTGGATCAGAAACTGGATATGGAGAAAATATTCTCTGGTTTTCCCTCTGGAAAATAGATTTATTAGCGTGTCCACGCTTCATAAAGATGGAAAAATCTCAACTTTTGAGAGCACAGCAAGCACAACACGTCAGCCACACTGAAGACGCTTTAAATTCGTGTACCCTGAAATTGACGCTTCTGGTAGAATTTGTAGTAGTTTGTTAAATGAGGAAGCTAAGAAGAAAATCCTCAGGACAAGAGTAAATGTGAGACTGGTTAGCTAAGGAGAGCTTGGTGATGCAGGGTTCCCGCTGAAAAACCTAGAAATTTAGAGACTAGTTTTCCAGTCATGGAAACTGATTAAAATGTCCTGGAAATATGTTATCCTGGAACATTTTATTTGTATTTTAGCCCCTCAGTCAGATCACTAAAACCTGGATCTGTATTGAGTTTAAAACTCGACTGTTGGTAGGATGAGCTGCTCATCATCAGCAAGTTTTTGATCATCAATAGTGTAATCATAACAAATGTACAGCTGTCCATATTTAGCAGTGTATAAGTGAAACTGTACGGGGTGGATGGGATTCTTCAGTAAGATCCAACAACTGGAATAACAGATAATGTCTCGTGTCACAGGAGCATCTGTACGACATGATTTGATTTCCCCAGACAGTATTTAATTTGAGTCCCGTCGGAATCAGAAAACATGACGGGGACTCTCTGCTGCAGACAACAGCCTTCCTCAAACTTCAAAGTCCAAATTAAAACCTTCTGCCTGATCTGAAGGCAGCGGAGACAAAACTCTGTGTTCAGCATCAAACCATCTCAAAGCTCTCAGTTTAAAACGCAGCCTGATGAAAGCCAATAGGAGGAGACGGTCCTTCACTTTCAAGACGAGTCCTTTGAGACCAGAGAGGAGCTGAGGATGGGGGAATCTCTGCAACAGGAGATTAAACTCCTCCTCAGCGGCAGGATGAGCTCTCTGCAGCAGGGATTGATTTGCGGCTTTGAAGCGAGCAGGTGTGGTGTATTTTACCGAGGTCTCATTAAGACCAAAGCCTCACACGTCAGCCAGGGTTAGTCTCTCTGACAGACGGGATTTAAACCGCAGGCCGACCAGGACTGTGCTGCCAAGCACGAGTCTGAGTCACACTCAAAGAGTTTATCCTTCTTTTATCTGCAGGGTTTATCCATGTTTTTATTTACTGCGGAAAAATCTGATATTTTGTCTCATACCGTACACTGTAAAAAGAGTGCTGTTATTATTGGATTTTTCTTATTTTAATCTGAATTTTTAGTTATTGAACTGTAATAAAAGTCACTATCTGTGAAANTTTTCACTGATAAACACTGTATTTTAAATAATTGTATAAATGTATGTACAGTATTAAAGTTGAAAGTTGAAACTTTAATATATTAAATAAATAGTAAATATATATTATAGATTTGCAAATCAAAAACAGTTATTTTATGATAATTTAGTTTTTCACATATTTGTATTTTGTTTTTATTTTTTCTTATTTATATTTCAATGTATTTACAAAATACAGAAGAAACCTGTAAAATGAACAGAAAAACTGTAAACTTACAGATTTTTTTTTTTACAGTGTTCTGCAGTAAAATCTGACATTCAACCTGATACAGTCGTAAAAAGAAGTAGCATCATGATCTGAGATCGGTTCCCAGGCTAGGTGATCCTCTCGGAGCAGATAAATCATCAGGTTGTTATTGTGTCTGTAATGAAGCCTGCAGCCTCTGTAAGCTGAATATTTAAACATCAGTCTGACAAATGGAGACGGATGAGAGTGTCAGTCAGTCCTCTAAAGACCTCTGTCACTCTGACTGATGGGCTGTTTTCTATGCTCAGGATGAAGTCGCCCACACGTCAACATGCAACATAAATCTCAACCACAAGAAGTAATTACAGCTGTTATTGAGGTCTCAGTGTTGTCAAATCAAGACTCATATTCCAGTCACTGTTTTTCTTCATCCCCTCCACATTATTCGTAACAAACCTCTAAATTACTTCCTGTTCCTGCGTGATCATCTGGGTAACGGTTAGTTGACACACATCAGATGTAAAGTATCTCAACTGGCAGCATCAAGTCGTGTTTCGCTGGCGGGTACGAGCGCTGATGTCTGTCACATCCCAACAGCTGTTGTGAGTTTGACAGCGATGAAATCAGCAGTGCCTAGTTTGATAGTTTGTTCTGAGTTTGGTTGTTTTTTTGTGCATTTTTAGTGTGTTTTAGTTTTTTTCATTTCATTGAGCTGGACTGACTCATTAAGAATCACTTGTCAATTACAAGGTAGCCCGGTCCTAAAGCATATGCTGCATTATCGTCTATTTTACTTGTTTTGCAAAATCATTATGTCGATTAAATAAAAAATATACTTATCTGCTTTTATGATAGTTTTAAAATAGGCTAATATCTGGAGCATTGATTCCCAACTTTTTCCTTTAGCGGATACCTTTTCTTTTAATATTCTTCATATTACATTTAATGCATAACAACTATCAATTGTACAGAACAACTGATAAACTGTAATTGATGAACCCAAATAGTGAAAGAAATAGGTGCAAGAATTATTCATAAAACAAGCAATTTGGATGAATTTTTAGGTTGTTTGCTGTGAATATTGATCAGAGTTGAGTTTTCCTGATAGTGAAGGCTCTGAGAATAATAAGAACCCCTGATCTAGGAGACAGGGCAGCTCTGGAGCATGGTTTTGGTGAATTCAGGTAGAAACGTATCAGAACTCTGATAGTGTTTATGGATTTTTTTCAGCATGTTTTAACCGAGGTAGATTTGTTGAGATTAATGTTTTTTTTCAGGAACTTATTCACCTTACTTATTGGCCTCCAGGTTCAATGACAGTTGTATCACTATTAAACTCTGAGGAGTCGTTTGTAACTCGGGTTGTTCAGGCGGTCGTCTGATTAGATCTTAACAGAAATGATGTGGTTGTTCCCATGATTCTCTGCGTCAGATCTCTGCAGGGAAGCTTGTGTTCAGTCAGTGCTTGAGCTCAGCAGATTATTTCCTCCCGTTATGATGATGTCAAGGTTTTTTTTTTCCCTGCCGACGGCTCTGATTGAATCCTGTCGGTGTGTCGGGGCAGGAGGACGCTGCCGCTCTTGCCGTGTTCAGCCGGGTGACAAAATCTCGTTAAAGTCGTGTCCACGGGCCGCTACTGAATGATTTATCTCTGGATAAAGGTCGCAGCAGCAGTGAGCAATGGGATGTCGACAGGGTGGGAGCCTGGGAGCCCATCACCATGGAAACAGGCCTGGTCAGACCATAGTGATGTCTGTCCCTCTGATTTACTGTGGAATAATACTGATGAAGTGGAAGTTTATTGGTTTCCAAATCACTCAGATAATCGTTGTACAGAAGGAGGAGAAGAACGGAGACTGACAGCTTCAGATGTAACAAACATAGTCCATAACAGTCAGTTTTCATCATTTAATTAAAGCTGATTATTCCAGTCAGCTCTATGATCACATCAGACCTCCAGATATGAAGTCAGACCTCTGCACAGCTCCAGGACAGGAGACTTTATTTGAGCAGCACCGCCTCTAAAGCCAAAAAGAAGTAAAGAATTAAGGCAATGAACAGGCCCTTGCGGTGTGCAGGCATCGATGTTGTGTGAAACGTGTCACCGGGGCTGCCTCGTTAAAGGGAGGATGTTCAGCCCCCATAAACTGCCATCAACTGCAAAAAAGTTACCATCAACATTTGCCTCATTGCCACGGCAACAGTTTTCGACAAACAGTCACGAGATTCATAACATATCATCATCTATGTCTTGAGGGTCGTCTGACCAAATTTCAGCAGGATCTGATCAACCTGCTAGTACATAAAATAATGAAATATGTAACTTCCTGTTTCCACTACTGGTGGAGATTGGATAAAATACACTGAAGTTATAACAGCTTCCTGTTTTACGCCGAAATGTCGAAAATGGGCACCAAGCCACAGACACGCCGTTTGACACACAGTCACAAATAGCACACATGTACATTGTGAAGGTCTTTAGACCAAATTTGAAGTTGATCCGATCAACTGTCTTTGAGGAGTTTGTTAGAATACAACGTGTGCAAATGAAATAAATAATATATTACCTATAAATTCAAATTGGTCAACTTCCTATTGAGTTTGGGGTATGGGTCCAAGAGGCTTTTTTGTACATATAGACATGATACATGTGCCTGTCAGTTTTCATACATATCAGTGAAACATGCCTCAGGGGCTGCAGTTTAGGGGGCACTGTGGAGCCTTTCTGCCACGCCCATATACGATATCCATAGAAACGCATATTTTCACCACCGCTCAATTATATTGTGGACGGACAAAATGCAAATCATTGGGGAATAAATAATAATCAGAGCAGTTTCAATAGGGTCCTCGCAGTGGTCGCTGCTTGGGACCTAATTATTAAGCTAATTTACATCACTAATTTAGCCCTGCGTGAACTAGAGTCACTCATTCCCATTAATTAACCCAACTCAAAAATAAACTTTTAAAGTAACTAATAAAGTTGTTTAGAGTTCACTTAAATGTGTGTATTGTTAACAACTTTATTACAGTAATAACACATTAATTTGCTACCATTTTAAACATCAGTCGTATTAATTTCATAATTTAAACTTAATTTAAGTTACCTTAACAATAAATATTTGTACCCAAATCAAATATTTTTTATGCTTATATTGTTTAAGGCAATCTGTGCCCTCACACAGTTTGAGTTTAACTAACTCAAGGTTTTACAGTGCAATCTGATAGACAGTTGATACTCAGCTTAAAGGACCAGTTTCTATGATGTGAGTGAGCGAAGGTCAAACTAATTCACCTGCTCAGGTGGGCGACGGGCTGACAGTGTCTGTCTCGCATGACTGAAGCCAGAAGTAACAGAGCGACCCATAAATTCAGTTTCCTGTCAGCCTCACCTTCACCAAGGACACATTAACGGTAATTGGGAACAGGTCAGTAACTGGAGCTGGAGGAGGAGGAGGGACCGGAGGATGAAGATTGGAGGGCAGACATTTCACAGCCATTTAATTCAGTTTTGTGTTGGCTAATTTGATTAAAGGTTCTTCATTCTCTGAAAACAGTTGTCAGGCTCTAATGAAAGTTTAAACCAAAAAACAAAGAACATTTAAAAAGAGTAATAAATGGATAAAATAATAGTAATAATGTAAAACTATTTATTTGTTTACTTTTTCTTGTTTTGTTTTTTCTTGTTTTTTATTATTTTTATTTATTTATTTTGTTGTTAACCCTGATACGTATCAGAGGTTTTTATTTGCAGCAGGACTTTGAGACAGTAAATAGACAGCAGCCAATCTCTCTTAGTGAATTATTTTATTTCATCATTAATTTACCCTCTTTAATGTTTTATGACTTTTTAAAAGTTTTATAATAAACGTGAAAAGGCGTGGATCTAGTCCTTGATGCTTCGTGGAAGTTGAATCAGACGGAGATGATGGCATTTTTTCTGACGAATTAATGATAATTTTAAGAAGTGTTTGTGATTAACATTTAAAGATGCCACACGAAATCGGTCATAATTGAATATTATTAGACTTCACTAAAACTTACAAAATAAATTGATATTAATGATATCATTATTGTTAATATGAATCAAATAGACAGTACAGATCACTGCCCTGTATCTACAGCACTGACCACTGCCTTGTATCTACAGCACTATAAAAAGCTTTATTAACTGTTCTGAAAGACGACGTCAAATTATGGGACTTCACTAAAACGTATGAAATATTAATAATTATATATAACATATAATATATAAATAAAAAATAAGTTCCCTTCTGGGGGTTAATAAAATATATCTTCTTCTTGTGATATCTTTATTGAGACCTTTATATGAATCAAATTTGGCTGGTCCAATTCAGCATTTAAGAGTTATGTCATGCTTACACATGCTTTAATATGTCTCCATGTACCCGGTTTGAGGACTTTAACTTGTATAGTAGTAGTAGAGATTTTTATAGTAGAATATTCAGAGTTTCACTTTGTGTCATCATGCTGACCTTTCTCTTAATATTCAGTGACCACAATCATGAGCTCTGATGATGGAGTCTAAATAAAGACGGTCTTTGCTTGCGTCCACTCTGAGACTAAACCTCGCTCCATTGTTGTCTCTGATGTTAATCTGGGAGCTCCACAGATGGCTCCATTTAGCGCCAGTGCTTCAAATCAAACGAGCCGGCTTCAGACAGCTCCGTGGCAGGTTTGAAGTGCCCCGATGGTGGATCCGTTCCATATGTCGTCATGTAGCAGATGTCCTCTGTGCCAGACTCCAGGTATCTTCTCCCTCATCTCCTCCTCCTTTATGTCCGTCAGCACGCTTCAGGGACGCGTTGTTGGTTTTCTGCTCCGTTACCCAGGAGGCCTGTTGTTGTTGTGATTCCTATTTAATAGATATAATTTCTCCCTCGGCCAGGGCCCGACGGAGCGGCAGTTCGTCTGCAGTGAGTTTAGATTACAGTGATGTTCCCATCAGGAGCTGTTAGTGAGTCACCAGCTGCTCGAGGAGGAGAGAAGAGGAAGTATGATCAGCGTCCATCTTTGATTCGTAACTCGAGTATCACCACTCCGGGTTGATGAACTCTGACAGATGAAACTGACCAACAAATTCAGCTGTCAGACTTTCTGATATCAGAAGATACAGGAAACTAATAAAAATAAATATGGTTATGTATGGTTTATGATACTTTTTAAATAAATTATTATATTTGTTTTAGTAACTCTTCCCTTTACTAGTATATTATTATATTTATTGATAACTAAAGAGTATAGATAAAATAAAAAACATTTTAAAAAAAGAAACTCCTCTCATAAAAGTTGGCGTGGAGTCTCGCTGCTCATCACTGTGTGTCGTCATTATTGTTTAAGTCCTGCACTGACAACATGAGCCTCTCGCTCACTTCCTTCTGCGCGAGGATACGTAGGAAGAAAATAGTTCCTATGAATCTGCTCACAACAAGGTCACTTGAGGACAGTTCACTGCAGACACTAAATGATTAATGCTACTTGTTTCCCAACAGCTGGAAACATCTGGAAACACACAATGAGGTAGTGTGTGTGTGTGTGTATCTGCTGTGTTACTGCAGTCTGACTGCAGGGCTGCAGCTCCATTACACATCTGCTCTCACAGGATAATGAAACACTGAGCTGACATGTGTTTGCTGTGTTTGCTGTGTGTGTGTGTGTGTGTGTGTGTGTGTTTACTGTGTGTGTCTGTGTGTGTGTGTGTGTGTCGTGTGTGTTGTGTGTGTTGTGTGTGTTTATGTGTTAGGCTGTGTGTGTGTGTGTGTGGTATGTGTGAGGCTCAGAGTGGTGGAAGCTCTCTGATAAATATTAAACTCCATCCAGGTCCCTACCTGTAAGAGATGAAAAGAATGTGTGTTTTGTTGTTTCTGTTTTGTTTATGTTGCAGCAAAATGAACTGACTGACTGTCCTGTCTGCCTGTCTGTCTGTCTGTCTGTAGAAGTGAAATGCTATACAACCAGATGGCTGTACTCCGTTCTCAACTCCCCCTCCTCCCCTGTCCTGCAGCCTTGAGGTAACCACACACACATTAATAACCCCACATACTCATATGTCCCCATACTTTGGCCAAGTGCTGTACAGTCGTTCATTATTCCATTATTTATTTAACAATTCCTTATTTTCTGTTTTAATGTATTATCTTATGTCGTTTGTTGGGTGAATCCTTTTCATTTGAACCCATTTATTGATGATTAAAGATTATTATTAC